CGCTATCCGCTGGATAAAATTTAAACGCTCGAGAAATCGCGTTGTATCAAGCCCGTTTAGGGCTATCCACCGGTTAAATTTTGCCTATCCACCGTGTAAACTAATACGGTCTCTTGAGACCGTTTAAATCGCTATACGGCGGATAAACTCTGAGTTTGAAGATAAAACAATGATTATTTCGGATGAAAAAGCATGGGATAGTTATAAAAATGCACAATCATGTAGAGGAGTTATCTTTTTAAATCCAATAAACATGAAAAACTCACTTTTAACTGGCTTGGTCTTGAGGAACACTGAGGTCACTTGCTCACTTGTAATTCAGTGGCTTTGCTATATTTACGCACACCAGTGTCATGTTTAGATGTTAAGTATATATACTCCGGCTTTTTCTTCTTCTTTTCTTCTATTATATAGTTTGAAAACAAGCAGTAAGACTCCCAACTTTAGCTATTGTAAAACAAACAATGACTTTGGAAAGCCAACAAGTATACAAAATAGACAACAAGACGCCGAAAGTCGAAAAAAATTGTTCGCTCGCTTTGATCAGCCAATCAAAACGTAGGACAAAATGTTCTTAAAATTGTTTTGAACAAAAGTGCAAGGTCGAGGAACACATTCAAACAGTATAAAACTGAATCAACTGACAAAAGCCAAATACAACTCACAGTTTTTGCTATTGCCTTCGACTCTTCGCATAAAGAAGCCAAAAATCTTTAAAGAAATATCCGTAAGTGAATTTAAGTGAATGAGAAACTCAGCACAATGTGAAAATGAAAAGTTTGATATAGATTTGCAGCAACGAATGGACGAGCAAACTCCAAATAAAAACAACAACAAACTTTATTGCAAAAGCTTAGTGGAATTCACAAGTTAGATAAAGCTTCAAAAGTTTACAAAGGCCTAGCAACAGCTGACGTAGAGGTAGGAAATTTCAAGAAAATCCGGTTTTCTCCGGTTAAATTAAAGGTTATCCTACGGATAGTTAAACGCGGTACTAAACGGGCTTCGTACAACGCAATTTTATCGGCCGTTTAACTATCCGCTGGATAAGAAATTTATACGCTGGATAGCGGCTAAACACCGTTTAAGTTAAACGCCTTTGATACAACCGGCCCCAGATCATTATTCAACGTGATCTACGACCCGGCCGTTTGACTTTAGCGCAAATATAATTATACAAATCGATGAGCTATTTAAGGATTATATTTGGTACTAAATTCCCCAAAAGAATTGGAACTACAACTGCTGTTTTCAAAGGTTTTGATCCATTTTGTCCATATTAATGTACCATTTTACTTATCGACTGATGTTTAACAAATACTTAAGTTAATTATTAAGCAGCTGTTAGCGTGCGTGTACAGGTGAATGAACGTTTATAATGTTTATCCATATAAGGAGTTTTTATTATTAGTTTACCAGCCCTTATATTTGAATAGTCGTTTTCTTTCAAGTTGTTTTCTTTTTTATACTCTGCAAAGTTGATTCCGAAATGTTAAGGTATTCGAAAAAACTATCGAACTTTTCCATGATATTTACAGAGAAACGTCACAGCTGTAAACCCCCCTCCCGCATCCCCAAAACGAACATATGACGTTTCTTGTGGAAAAAATCGATATGTGAGGCTTCCCTAAAACTGCAAGGTTTACACTATTGAATTAAAATCCCACAGACCACAACGATTATACGTATTGATTGTTTCTTGACGATAGTAGACGCGTACGCATGCATGTTGCGTAAGAGGTTATTTCGCTGGCCTCAGAATGACAAAACGTAACAAAGCTTTACACTAACCCTATTCCAAACACCAACTTTATAACTTAAATCCCTACCATAACCCTTGCTCGTTATTAAATAACATACCGTAGTAAATAATTTAATCACCATTTCTAAGTCTTTTACTTTTTCGGGACAAAAAACTACTTGAAAAAGACCAGGGCTTTAAAAATTATTTGAGTAGATAGTTATGATAAGACAGGGGTGGCGCCAGGGCCGCCCTTGCAGGGGGGGGGGGGCAAAGGGAGCAATTTTCTCCGCGACCCCAGCTCAAGGAGGGCCGGCAAATACAAATTTGCAAGGGGGTAAAAAGTTTGTCGACGGAGGGGTGGAGGGGAATTATTGTGGTTCACCGGGGCCCCAAAGATATAATTGGCCCTGGGCCCCCATATTTCACTGAGCTGGCCTGGGCTGCGCCAGTAATTCTCCGACGGGGGAAGTCATCGGTGCTCTCTTTCGTTCTTTGGCAATTGGCATTAAAACCACAAGAACTACCGACAAGTGACCAGGGCCGGATTAACGTCGCGCGAGGCTCGTGGCAGATTTTAGCGAGAGCCCCCCCCCCCCTTGTTATAAAAACCTTTGAATTTAAAGACACGCAAAATTGTTAAATAATTGTTTTTCAATATTTCAATTTATTGGCATCAATTATAAACGAGACAATGGCCTGCCTGGCCCAGTTGTTGGGTCAACATGTATAAACAGGATCATAATATAACAGCTCAACGCGACTGGAGATTATATGCACACGAGTATTGCATATTTTCCCAGGACCGTGCTGGGGCCAACTGCCAAGCCTAGGGGCCCTAAATACGCGTGGTCCATAAATTGGCGAGGCACCTAAAATGGGTGTGTCCCAATAGAAAATGGCCGTGTTCTCGTAAAAATGGGCGTAGCACGGTGAAGCCCGAGGCCCCCATAAGCGGGAGGCCCGAGGCATTTGCCGCATCTGACATGTGGTTAATCCGGCGTTAAACGAGCAACTAAAGCTTTCATTTTTTTTAAACGCGACGTGTGGGGAGACAATAATAAATTCTTGTGTCGCACTGGGCTAACATATCTCAATACCGTATTTTTGGGTACTAGTACTTGTGGAATATAATAAGATTAATAGACAATAGTGTATCAAAGTAAACTGTAATTTTTCTGATTATTTTAACTGTGCATCAAAATGAACACACATTAAAATTATTTTAAACTATTTGGTATAATTTGAGTTTGAGGTGGTAGAATATATAATAAAATAACAAACATGGGCGTACGGGAAGGAAAAATTTAAGGGGGCGGGAAGAAATTTGCCCGAATTTTTCGGATTGTGCCCGCGTTGTCAAAAAAAATTTTCCGGAGAAACTTTCCAAAATTGTTGTCGACGGGGGGGAGGGGGGTTGGCGGAGGAATGATTACGAAAAATTCCTATCAGATAGCATATTTCCCACAAAATTGACAGAATTTCCCACAAAATTGACAGAATTTGTCCCATTTATTTTTATAATAAGGCAATATTGCCCGACTGTAAAGCGAATATTGCCCGATTGGCTTTGTTTGATTTGCTTTGTACGCCCATGATAACAAATCCTTGTATGGATAAATGTTCATTTCACACGCACGCTATTAACAGCTGCTTAATAATTAACTTATGTATTCGTAAACATTTATACTCGATAGTCGATATGTAAATGGTACATTATATGGATCAAACTGGAACAAAACAAAAATTGAAGTTTTAATTTTGGGAAATTTATATATAAATTTATATATAAATTATATAAACCCTAAACAGCTCATCGATTTGTATGTTAGCGCTATTACTGTAAAAAGTAGACAATATTGAACAGTGATCTGAAGTTATCATGCAACTGACAACAATATTATATCTCAAAATACTTGCATATGATGATATTTTACAAATATATCGGGATTTTTGGACCAATTTTAAACTTAGCAAGGCAAAAAGTCTCCAGTCAAGGATATATCTTCTTCTCAAAAGGTAAAATACTTAGAATACTTGATTAAATTGTTTACTTCGACGGTATGTAAATTAACAGCGTTTGACTTGCAAAACGTCAAAAACGGACGATTTCAACGCGCTGTCGTTTATCGCGTATTCATTTGCCAAAAGAAGTATTTACGTCAATTGAAAGCTTGTTTATTAAAGAGCCAACGAGTAGAAGCATGATCGATTTGGAGCTTTATCGCATGGTGAAAATCGGTTTTGTGAAGAGGGTATCGTAAATGATGTAAGATAGTGTGCTCCAAAACTACGATTATTTCTATTCCTAAAAGTAACTCAGATTTCCTGTAACTCACATACCCGGTCCTTTGAATAACCGGAAACAAGATTTTTAGGGTTTTAGATCGATTAGAAACGGTTGTCGTCGTGAAATTTGTCGGTAAAATCAGCGCATATTTTCCCAGACAAAATGGCGATTTAGGGTGGTCGTGTTAAAACGGCATTTTCTCAAAGTTAAAAAAGCATTTGACCTAAAAAAATATATGGTGCATTTTCCGATATAATAAGGTATATCTGGGCAAAATTTGAGCAAAATCGATTTTTCAGTCGTGGCCGCGAAATATCTCATATGTTCGATTTTTACTGACATTCACTCTTAAGAAGTTTTCGTCGAAGTTATAGCATATAGGAAGTATCAAGAGCAACATTTGGACATATGCTGATATACTCGAGTTTCCCGATTGATTGTTTGTCATTGTTAACAAAAATTTAAATTTCGCCTACTGCATTGCTTTAGCACTTTATATACACCGATTGTTTGCTGAACATGCGAGAAGATGATCACAATATTATTCTACGTAAACATCGTGAAGTTCAACGCTATAGTTTCCAAAATATATCCACGCAAGTAAACAAATTTCGAGTTTCAACCCAAACAATATATTCCAATGCATGTGCAAGGGCTTTCCCCAGTAGCTAATCTCTCAATAAGGCGGATACCAATTGGCTCTAACTTTTTTGAACACTGCCATATGATTGGCTCCTAAAACAAAGGGAATTGAATATGCTGCTCGGGTAAGCAGACGGTAGTATTTCGTCGCATGGCGTAAGAACTACAACGTCTGTGAGCAGGATAGTTCGACCCGGATTTTTGCGGTGGTGGAGTGTGGTGGAGGAGCGAGGAGGAATGAGGGTGCGTAATGACGTCACTCATTAACATACATCATAATTATATGCAATGACGTCTCTCAGTTTCTCTTTTCTTTATACATAGAAACAACTCGTCACCCTGTAGAAAGTCGCCATATTTGTTTTACTACCTGCATGCATGTTCGCAGGCGTACAGCCCTAATTAGTCGACCTGAATGTTTAACGCACGCATGCACATACACATAAACAACTCGATAGCATAGTATCTAGAGCTAAGATATATGCTCTCAAAAATTATGTTGTACAAATTAGGTGTTACACAATATTCTAGTACATTTCTACCTTTATACCTCGTTATTCAGTCGTTCGAAACTATAAGTTTCATCAGTTACTTCTTTCCAGTTTCGATCGACTTCTTCAGCTATATTCAAATCTTCATGTTGCTTCACTTTCATCATTGAAGAAACCTGTATTTGAGAACAACGCATTTGCAATTATTGATTAATCAGTCCATGGATATAATATTACAATTCATTGTATATTATTAATAACTTGTTCTATAATGATCATTTGACTATAATTATAAACTAAATTTTTAAAGGCTCTTTTGCTGTTTAAAAGCAAGTTGTATGTTGTATTAAATACCAATTCAGTACTCATAAGCATGAAAGAACTAAACATTATGTGTCCGAGCAAACATAATATAGTGCTAATACATTTATGTCCGACCACTGAATTTGAGTTATGCACAACTAAATTGGAAACTGGTCAGACATATGTCCTGTCAAGAATATTTATTTGCAGTCCTGATTAGTAGTATTTAATTTGAGAATTTAATAACAACTTCAGTGTAATAGTGATATTTTCTTCCAGGCAATATTAACATGAATCATTGAAGCTATAGCCACAACAAACATACATGATTTTTGAAAACGTCAGGATCGATATTTGGTAAATTTCGTAGAAAGTCATTCAAGAAGAGATCCATCCGTTCCTTAACAAAGTCGGCACTAGAAAATAAATTTGAACATTTATTCAATATTATTTATCACGAACATTGTCCAACTGTGCCTATTTGAATACTAATTATAATGATATGATATAATGGCATCAGGAACATAAATGCTGGTTCTTATATTAAGTGCATGAATCTTATTATTTATGGTACAAAATCTTGATATTAATAATTATAAATATATACCTGTACTTTTCAGCCTGCGTTTGAACTGTTAGAGAAAATCCTAAAATACCATATGTAATTCTGCTGCCACAAAACACAGAATACCTATATAAAACATTTTGTTAGTTTAACGCTTCAAATAATAATACTACACGGCTAAAAACGCACAAGTTGTTGCAAGTTGATATCGACAGGCGTGAACAATGTTGTGCGGCCAACTATAAACAAGTTGTCAACCATGTTGTTCCAAGTTGTTACAGTTGAACAATGCTGTAACAACATGTTGACAACACTGTTCATAGTGGGCCGCACAACCTTGTTCACGCCTGTCGATATCAACTTGCAACAAGTTGTTGATTTTCTCAATTTTTACGCGTGTAATACAAGGATGGCTGCCATTAGCGGACTGCGGTAACCAAATGGACAAATACATATAGCCAGTGAGAATATAATCTCCTTTAAAAGCTTAACCAGTGCTGTTGTATCAAGTATTCTGGGGGGGGGGGGGGTCGAAAGCGAGAGAAAGAGAGCAAGGGAAAATAGGCTGGGTGAAAACCTCACAGTTTTCCTCGGTCTCCGCTTTCTCTCGCCTTCGCCTTCCCCCCCCCCCTAGTTTCTCACACCTCTCGCCCTCCCACCTAATAGTGCAAGTATTCCTCTTTTCAAAGATCCAGTATTTATATACAATGTAAATATATATAAGTATGAAATATATAATAGTTAAAATTTCCTCAAGATATTTGTGGAAAAGGCTTGATTGTTGCTTACGTAGCCCAGCTGTATTTGAGGCGTAGCTCATATATAGTCATGCATGCATGCATGCATGTATAGAAATATATATGAATATCAAACTATAACTAAATTCTACACAATAAATAAATTCCGTACAAAATGAATGTATTGCTAATGCTAAGGAATTGCCTGCATTGCCTGAGGTCTATACCATGCAGCTAGGCAGAATACCCGGCAGGAGGAGGACGAAAGCAATGGAGGCGAATTCCTCCTCGCGTGTAATATAGTGCATGCGCTGTCTAAACGTTTGATTTGACTGTTTATTGTAAGGCCATATAAAAAAAATAGTTGGTTAGCGTCCTTAGCTTTTGCCAAAAAGTGGGCGGGCGGGCGCTTTTTTTTTTAATTTTTACTAATTTTTAACGCCTTGGTTTTACTCACAGTTAGGTCCGAAGCTGGATTTTCTTGCGCAGTAGAGATATTTTTTTTTATATATTTCAAAATATAATTCATACCGTCATTTTCGCACGCAATTTCGCAAATTATTAACACAATTGACTACAGTCAACAGAAATACTGCATATATTAGAGCCCGTTGATCAATAAAAATCGGGGTATTTTAAAATAAAAAATTAAAAAAAAATCCTGAGCGGGGCCTTTTTTGTGGGCGGGCGGGGACGCTAACCAACTATTTTTTTTTATGTGGCCTAAGTATGATAATTGCTGTAATTTGATTGATGGAGAGGCGCACAATTAGTTTATTAATTGTACCGCGGTACAATCAATAAATCAGGAGTGGGGCTTGGAAAGAAATTTGAGGGAAAATATTCAAAATGGCGGTTTGACAAGAGTGTAATTTTTTTCTTTTCTTTCCACAATTTCAGGAGCTATGTCACATGAAATTCCGATATAAATAATTGGAAATGAACGCAATGACTGTTGAGAAATAACGTGCTCGAGTAAAAGAACAGTATAGTGATTAGTGCACTGGCGAGTAAAATTTAGTGCAATTTTGCATGCAAGTAATAAACAATTAAGTAACTAATCCTGTGTCATGCTCGTACATGTACAATTAAGGATTAACAATCCTCGTAAATTTCGTTACTAATAAACGTTTTGCCAAGTTGCACTCATACACCCCTGCGACTTGTGCAATTTTGGGAGAATTTTCAAACATCAATCGTACTGCATGTTAATTCCTTAATTGTATTTGCTATCACATGATCACCTATACAAATAGACAGATTTAGTAAAGACGAGAAGGCAAACACGGCGATGCGGTCTCAATTTTAACTTAAGATTGATGGCTATAAGGAAACTAGTTGTTGTATTAAATTGAAGCTTTTTAAAATAACCTTACAAGTTCGGGAACAACGATCCGGTGTTTACTATCAGATAGATTTTATGTAACTCGTCTATGTCGCAACATGCAAGCATTGTAACGAATTTTGACTGAATATCACATCTATATTTGAATACAAACTGTTCTTTTATAGAAATTTACAAAACCAGAGTTTTCTTAGAGTCACGCCATGTTCAATTACCCACGCATGCGCGAACTAATGTCAACTACGCGTGCGCCAACTAAATGTCCTATAAATTAACATAAATTAAGTCGGAAGTTCGTACACTCCCGCCTTGACAACTTATTTGTCAACACAACGTCTCTTTATTTCTCCGACAATTGCTGCCTTTCTTCTTGATCTACGATCCTCCTTTTCATCCTGTTGGGTATGTTCGTTCCTAAGCTCCAATGGAAACAGTTTCTGAACGGGGCGCCGTATGTACGTTGATTTCTTGCTGTCCCCCGCAATTCTAATAATAGCAGCGCGTATTTTCCCATCTGTACTACGTATTAGCTCATGAACTCTTGCCAAACGCCACTTTGCTCGAGATCTGTTCTCGTCATGCACACTAACTACATCACCAATGTTGATATATGTTTCTTTCGTCACGCTCAACGAGCCACGATGTTGTTCCCTAAGACTCAGAAGATATTCCTTATGCCATTTTTTCCAGAAACTGTCAGTTAACCTACATAGATACTTCGCTCTTTTTGTTAACTCCGTTCCAGACATGTCTACCGTTTCTCTTTCACACCTCGAATTTGACATCAAAATTGAACGTCTTCCCATTAATAAATGAGAAGGTGTTAAAGCTTCTTCCATTTCGCCAGATTCAACATACGTCAGAGGTCTTGAGTTTAGTACACTTTCTACTTCCGTAAGAACTGTATTAAGTTCATCGTAACTTAATCTCGCATTCTTTAATGTTTTCTTTAAACACCGCTTCGACGACTTGACCATTCGCTCCCAGAACCCACCCCACCAAGGGGCCTTTTCGACTATGAATTTCCATTCAACTCGGCTGGACTGTAACAATTCTTGGACTTCCGGTAAATTGAGTAATGCTGACAATTTATTGCTTGAGGATTTAAATGTTTTAGCATTGTCCGATAATATCAACTTTGGAATACCTCTTCGACTAATGAATCTCCTAAATGATCGAATAAACGCATCAGCTGTCAGGTTTGGAACCAATTCCAGATGGACTGCTCGAGTACTTGCACATGTATAAAGTGCAATATACGCTTTGGTCATTTCGGTTTGCCCTTTAGCAACCGATTTACGTAAATTGGTCCCGCGAAATCTACCCCAACGTGACTAAATGGAAAATCTTGAGTAACACGGAATTTGGGAAGGTCTGCTTGAGTTGGCGGTGTATAAGCCTTTCCTTCGAATTTACGACAAGTTACGCACTTCCCAATCACACGTTTAACTGTTTGTCTACCTTTGACAATCCAGAATCGTTCTCTTAAACAGCATAAGGTGTCTTGCACCCCATTATGAAGCACTCGTTCATGACACTCACGAATGATAATCGAAGTTAAATGATGGTAGTTC